GTCACATCCTGGGTGTTAGTGGACTGGGGGGGGTCACATCCTGGGTGTTAATGGACTGGTGGGGGTCACCATTCCGGGTGTTAGTGGACTGGTGTGGGTCACATCCTGGGTGTTAGTGGACTGGTGTGGGTCACATCCTGGGTGTTAGTGGACTGGTGGGGGTCACATCCTGGGTGTTAGTGGACTGGTGTGGGTCACATCCTGAGTGTTAGTGGACTGTGTGGGTCACACCCCTGGGTGTTAGTGGACTGGTGTGAGTTCACATCCTGGTTTTTAGTGGACTGGGGGTGGGTCACATCCTGGGTGTTATTGGACTGGTGTGGGTACATCCTGGGTGTTAGTGGAAGGGTTTGTGGTTCACATCCTGGGTGTTTTAGGGGGACGGGTGTTGGTTCGCATCCTGGGTGTTAGTGGACTGGTATGGGTCACATCCTGGGTGTTTAGAGTCTGGTGTGGGTCACATCCTGGGTGTTAGGGGATGGTGTGGGTCACATCCAGGGTGTAAAATGACTGGTGTGGGTCACATCCTGGGTGTTAATGGACTGGTGGGGGTCACATCCTGGGTGTTAGTGGACTGGTGTGGGTCACATCCTGGGTGTTAGTGGACTGGTGTGGGTCACATCCTGGGTGTTAGTGGACTGGTGTGGTTCGCATCCTGGGTGTTAGTGGACTGGTATGGGTCACATCCTGGGTGTTAGTGGACTGGTTTAGGTCACATCCTGGGTGTTAGTGGACTGGTGTGGGTCACATCCTGGGTGTTAGTGGACTGGTGTGGGTCACATCCTGGGTGTTAGTGGACTGGTATGGAAAAACAGATGGAAAAACAGATGGGACATGCAACTATGACCACCCTAGAAAATGTCATGCCCATATGACAACAGGAAAATGCAAACTCCCTTCCTGTAAGCTTTTTCACCCTGAAATGTGTACCTCTTCAGTACAGGAAAGACTGTGCTATAACTTAAATTGCCAGGCATACCATCTAAAGGGGACAAAAAGATACAAAACATCCAGGCCATGGGAAAACCTGGGTAGCCACAGCCACTCAAGAGGGAGAGGTTTTTTAGTGCCAGGGAAAGGAAAAAAACTGGGAGGAAATGGCAGAAATCGTACACCAAATCCAGTCATTCCTGGAGTGGAAAACCCCAGTCGATGGCCTCCACTCCAAACCAACAGATACAGATACTAATGCCGGAAAAAAAATCCCCCCCAGTACCAACAATACCACCAGTCCGATAAAATTTTTTCTTTGCAAATTTTACAGGGTCTAAAGCCAGCAAACAAACAACAAAAATACCTTTCATCCGTGGACTGCTTGCAGAGGCAAAGGCAATGTTCGCGGCTTTCACTGAGACCCACATAAAGGATCACTTGGACAACGAAATATGGATCCCAGGTTACAACCTATACAGATGTGACAGAGTGGAACAGGCAAAAGGGGGGGGTTGGCCTGTACATTGCAGAGTCACTTTTTGCACAGAACTGCTTAATGCCTCAAATGACGTAGTGGAAGTTTTAGCAGTAAAGTCGAGAACCAAAACTAGTCATTGTGGTAGTCTACAAGCCTCCGGATGCAACATCCCGCAATTCCAGGAACAGCTGTTAAAAATTGACCACTGTCTGGAAAATCTTCCAGCTCCTGCACCCAACATCTTGCTCCTGGGGGATTTCAACTTAAGGCACCTAAAATGGAGGAATATAGCAAATAATATTGTTGCAGTAATAACACCAGGAGGCAGCTCTGATGAAAACTCCACTCACATGAGCTTTTAAATCTCTGCACAAAATTCAATTTAAACCAGCAAATAATAGAGCCTACTAGACTGGAGAATACACTAGACCTCATCTTCACTAACAATGATGATCTGATAAGAAATGTCACCATAATCAAAAACATATACTCAGATCACAACATAATTGAGGTTTCAGACATGTATGCGTGGAGCCCCAGACCGACAAAATGAGACTAGTCACGGAGGGAGCATTCACCAAATTCAACTTCAATAACAAAAACATAAAGTGGGACCAAGTAAACCAAGTCCTAACCGATATAAGCTGGGAAGATATACTAAGCAACACAGACCCAAACTTATGCCAAGAAACAGATTAACTCGGTGGCACTCGATGTATGCACAAGGCTTATTCCTCTAAGAAAAAGGAGGAATAGATGTAAAATAGAAAGAGACAGGCGCTCCTTTACAGGCGACGGAAAAGAATAACAGAGCGGCTAAAAGAGGTCAATATATCTGAAATGCGCAGGGAGACACTGGTCAGAGAAATAGCAAGCATCGAACTTAAGCTAAAAGAATCCTTTAGGAGTCAGGAATCGCGGGAAGAACTAAAAGCCATAAATGAAATCGAAAGAAACCCAAAGTATTTCTTCTCCTATGCCAAATCAAAATCGAGAACAACGTCCAGTATTGGGCCCCTACTTAAACAAGATGGGTCCTACACAGATGACAACAAGGAAATGAGTGAGCTACTCAAGTCCCAATATGACTCAGTTTTTAGCAAGCCGCTAACCAGACTGAGAGTCGAAGATCAAAATGAATTTTTTATGAGAGAGCCACAAAATTTGATTAAACAACGCCTATCCGATGTTATCCTGACGCCAAATGACTTCGAACAGGCGATAAATGACATGCCCATGCACTCTGCCCCAGGGCCAGACTCATGGAACTCTGTGTTCATCAAGAACTGCAAGAAGCCCCTATCACGAGCCTTTTCCATCCTATGGAGAGGGAGCATGGACACGGGGGTCGTCCCTCAGTTACTAAAAACAACAGACATAGCCCCACTCCACAAAGGGGGCAGTAAAGCAACAGCAAAAGAACTACAGACCAATAGCACTAACATCCCATATCATAAAAAATCTTTGAAAAGGGTCTAAGAGCAAGATCACCACCCATCTAGAAACCCATCAGTTTACACAAACCCAGGGCAACATGGGTTTAGAAACAGGTCGCTCCTGTCTGTCTCAACTACTGGATCACTACGACAAGGTCCTAAATGCACTAGAAGACAAAAAGAATGCAGATGTAATATATACAGACTTTGCAAAAGCCTTCGACAAGTGTGACCATGGCGTAATAGCGCACAAAATGCGCGCTAAAGGAATAACAGGAAAAGTCGGTCGATGGATCTATAATTTCCTCACTAACAGAACACAGAGAGTAGTCGTCAACAGAGTAAAGTCCGAGGCAGCTACGGTGAAAAGCTCTGTTCCACAAGGCACAGTACTAGCTCCCATCTTGTTCCTCATCCTCATATCCGACATAGACAAGGATGTCAGCCACAGCACCGTGTCTTCCTTTGCAGATGACTCCCGAATCTGCATGACAGTGTCTTCCATTGCAGACACTGCAAGGCTCCAGGTGGACATCAACCAAATCTTTCAGTGGGCTGCAGAAAACAATATGAAGTTCAATGATGAGAAATTTCAATTACTCAGATATGGTAAACATGAGGAAATTAAATCTTCATCAGAGTACAAAACAAATTCTGGCCACAAAATAGAGCGAAACACCAACGTCAAAGACCTGGGAGTGATTATGTCGGAGGATCTCACCTTCAAGGACCATAACATTGTATCAATCGAAATCTGCTAGAAAAATGACAGGATGGATAATGAGAACCTTCAAAACTAGGGATGCCAAGCCCATGATGACACTCTTCAGGTCACTTGTTCTATCTAGGCTGGAATATTGCTGCACTCTAACAGCACCTTTCAAGGCAGGTGAAATTGCCGACCTAGAAAATGTACAGAGAACTTTCACGGCGCGCATAACGGAGATAAAACACCTCAATTACTGGGAGCGCTTGAGGTTTCTAAACCTGTATTCCCTGGAACGCAGGAGGGAGAGATACATGATTATATACACCTGGAAAATCCTAGAGGGACTAGTACCGAACTTGCACACGAAAATCACTCACTACGAAAGCAAAAGACTTGGCAGACGATGCACCATCCCCCCAATGAAAAGCAGGGGTGTCACTAGCACGTTAAGAGACCATACAATAAGTGTCAGGGGCCCGAGACTGTTCAACTGCCTCCCAGCACACATAAGGGGGATTACCAACAGACCCCTGGCAGTCTTCAAGCTGGCACTGGACAAGCACCTAAAGTCAGTTCCTGATCAGCCGGGCTGTGGCTCGTACGTTGGTTTGCGTGCAGCCAGCAGCAACAGCCTGGTTGATCAGGCGCTGATCCACCAGGAGGCCTGGTCACAGACCGGGCCGCGGGGGCGTTGACCCCCGAAACTCTCTCCAGGTAAACTCCAGGTAAACATCCTGGGTGTTAGTGGACTGGTGTGAGTCATCCTGGGTGTTAGTGGACTGGTGTGAGTCACATCCTGGGTATTAGTGGTCTGGTGTGGGTCACATCCTGGGTGTTAGTGGACTGGTGTTTACCTGGAGAGAGTTTCGGGGGTCACATCCTGGGACAAAAGTGACCTAATTTGCAGGAAATGCTCGGTATAACAAGGGACTTTCTATATAGTAGTATGTCATTGATGTCAGCTATGGTCTGTATAAGTTGTATCGTGTACTGGCAGTAATAAAGATATTATTATTATTATTACTTTATCTTCCAGCCGGGTCGAGTCATAGCTCCTGGCCCCCGCCTCTTCACCCTGTGAACTCCAGATAAAACGTAAAGCCACCCTAGTCTTTTAAACCTTCGTAGAAATTATTATTATTATTATTATTATTATTATTATTATTATTATTATTATTATTATTATTGTTATTATTATTATTATTATTATTATTATTATTATTATTATTATTATTATTATTATTATTATTATTATTATTATTGTTATTATTATCTAGCAGGAGGAGGATAATTCAAGTTTACCCGAAATATTTTACCCAACTATTGGCTTTACCGTTTAAGTAACCACTAACATATAAAAAACACAAAAAAACATTCCTTTTCGAAAATAAAAATTTCTCATGAAATGGTGATATATTTCATTTTTCATTTTCATTTATTTAATTTTTTATTCGTGAACGCGAGAGGAAAAAAGATGGCGGCGCTGGCCAGGCTGAGCAAGACGGCTTTTAGGCTTAATAATGACGTTTTAAAGGCCGTTAATGGTGCTTTGGTGCCCAGTAATGGTGTCTTCGTGCCCAGGGTAGTGGGTATATCCACGTCCAAGAAGAACAAGGACACCGTGATGGTCACGGACGCTGTTGTGGAACATGTCAAAGACTGAACAAACAGCTGTGACTAAGGTACTGTTTATTTATTTATTTATTTATTTATTTATTTCCAATTTGAGCACACATACAGAGGTACAAAAAAATACAGATAAGAGCAGTATGCCAAAGCCACTTATACTATGCATAGCATTACGGGCTGGCTTAAAATTAACTTAAGATTAACTAAGTAATGATGAAATCAGTGATAAAACATTAATGTAAACAGATAACTATAAAGCACAAGTGAGTATTACAAAGACAGGTCATATGGTTGCATGCATTGTTGTACATTCAGTCGTATGGAGTATTCTGTTAGGTAGTGTATTTAAAAAATAATAAAGTTAGATTGGGTTTTAGGTTTAACATTTATGTGATAATAATTGTGAGAAACATTTAAGATATACAATTTATAAGGTTCAGTTATTCAGTATTATTTGGTTTTGGGTGAGTAAGTGATCTTTGAGAAGAGACTTGAATTTATAAACAGGTAGTGTTTCTTTTATATTTACAGGTAATGAATTCCAGATTTTAGAGCCTTTTATGTGCATTGAGTTTTTGCATAGTGTGAGATGGACACGAGGAACATCAAAGAGTGATCTGTGCCTTGTGTTATGGTCATGTGTTCTGTTGAGGTTGGCAAGGAGATGTTTGAGGGAGGGTTAATATCAGAGTTAAGTGTTCTATGTATGTAATAGGTGCAGTAATAAGTATGGATGTTTTGTATGGTGAGTAGGTTTAGTGTATTGAATATTGGTGGAGTGTGCTGCCTGTAGTGAGAATTTGTTTATCATTCTAACTGCAGCCTTTTGTTGAGTAATTAGTGGTCTGAGATGGTTAATTGTTGTTGAGCCCCATGCACAAATTCCATAGGTGAGATAGGGTAAATAAGAGAGTGATATAGGGCCAGGAGGCTGACTGTGGAACATAGTACCGTATCTTCGATATATGCCTACAGTCTTGGAAATTTTCTTAGAAATTTGTTGTATATGTGTATGAAATTTGAGTCTATTATCAAGGTGGATTCCTAAGAATTTTCCCTCTGTTAGTTTTGTGATAGGTGATCCGTTTATCATTATGTTAGAGGGACATCTGTAGCTCTGTTACCAAACTGAATGAAGTAGGTTTTGCCAATGTTTAGTGTAAGTTTGTTAGTCCTCATCCAGGTAGATATTTTCTGTAATTCGGTATTTACAGTATTGGCTAGCGTGACTGGGCTCGGGTGAGAGAAGACGTATGTAGTGTCATCTGCAAATAGTGTGGGTTTGAGTAATTGCGAAGCATTTGGAAGGTCATTTATGTATAGGAGAAAGAGAAGAGGGCCAAGGACACTTCCCTGTGGGAAAACCAACTGTAATTGGTTGCGCAGAAGTTTTGCCCCATTTGGTACACATATTGGCTTCTGTTGCTGAGGTATGACTGAGGTAGTTGAGGGAGTGCCCTCTTATACCATAGTGTGACAATTTTACGTGAGCAAGTATGGTCAACTGTATCAAAAGCTTTACGTAAGTCAATGAAGATCCCCAGTGGACTTCTTTTTTCTCTATTGCAGTGTATATATGTTCTAGCATGTGTATAATAGCATCTTTTAGTATTTTTATTAGGCCTGAATCCAAATTGGCGGGGGTTGAGTATTTTTTGGGGGAGATAAGGTAGGAGTAGATTCATTTATGAATTAATTTTTCAAAGATTTTTGAGAGAGGGTTTGAAAAGTTGGATATTGGCCTATGTTATTCAACTCTGTTTGGTCTCCTCCTTTGTGGATCGGGGGTGACCCTTGCAAATTTTGAGTACTGTAGGGAAGGTGGAGGATTCAATGGATTTGTTAAAGAGTGTTGCAATGATTGGTGATAGCACTTGTGACACTTTTTTGTATATAAAGGGTGGTAAGGTATTTAAATCTCCTGCCTTGTTTTTTAGTGCGTTGATAATAAGGGAGACTTCGTATGGGTTAGTCGGAGCTAGGAACAGTGTGTTCGGGTAGTTGCCGGTGAGGTAGTCATTTGTTGTTGCCCATGTAGGTTTAGCGCTTCTTTATTATAATGTTGGCACGGTTACTGTTGTCACAGTTACTGTTGTCACAGTTACTGTTGTCACAGTTACTGTTGTCACAGTTACTGTTGTCACAGTTACTGTTGTCACAGTTACTGTTGTCACAGTTACTGTTGTCACAGTTACTGTTCTCACAGTTACTGTTTCTGTTGTCACAGTTACTGTTGTCATGGTTACTGTTACTGTTGTCACAGTTACTGTAACTGTAGTCCCCTCAGGGAAGGTTCCTTGATGTTGGTGAGGGGCTCTTGATTTAGGGAATTGGATCTGTGCTCCAATTCCCCGAATTAAGCCTGAATGCCTTCCACATCCCTCCCAGGCGCTGTATAATCCTACGGGATTATACAGCTACTGTTGTCAGTTACTGGTGTCACAGTTACTGTTGTCAGTTACTGTTTTCACAGTTACTGTTGTCAGTTACTGTTACTGTTGTCAGTTACTGTTACTGTTGTCAGTTGCTGTTGTCACAGTTACTGTTGTCAGTTACTGTTGTCACAGTTACTGTTGCTGTTGTCATGGTTACTTTTGTCAGTTACTGTTTTAAATTACTGTTGCTGTTGTCAGTTACTGTTGTCACAGTTACTGTTAATGTCACAGTTACTGTTTTCACTGTTACTGTTGTCAGTTACTGTTGTTACTGTTGTCACTGTTATTGTTGTCACAGTTACTGTTGTCACAGTTACTGTTACTGTTGTCACAGTTATTGTCACAGTTACTGTTGTCAGTTATTGATGTCAGTTACTGTTGTCAGTTACTGTTGTCACTTGTTCTATCTAGGCTGGAATATTGCTGCACACTAACAGCACCTTTCAAGGCAGGTGAAATTGCTGACCTAGAAAATGTACAGAGAACCTTCACGGAGCGCATAACGGAGATAAAACACCTCAATTACTGGGAGCACTTGAGGTTCCTAAACCTGTATTCCCTGGAACGCAGTCGGGAGAGATACATGATTATATACACCTGGAAAATCCTAGAGGGACTAGTACCGAACTTGCACACGAAAATCACTCACTACGAAAGCAAAAGACTTGGCAGACTTGGCAGACGATGCAACATCCCCCCAATGAAAAGCAGGGGTGTCACTAGCACGTTAAGAGACCATACAATTAGTGTCAGGGGCCCGAGACTGTTCAACTGCCTCCCAGCATACATTAGGGGGATTACCAACAGACCCCTGGCAGTCTTCAAGCTGGCACTGGACAAGCACCTAAAGTCGGTTCCTGATCAGCCGGGCTGTGGCTCGTACGTTGGTTTGCATGCAGCCAGCAGTAACAGCCTGGTTGATCAGGCTCTGATCCACCAGGAGGCCTGGTCACAGACCGGGCCGCGGGGGCGTTGGCCCCCAGAACTCTCTCCAGGTAAACTCCAGGTACTGTTACTGTTGTCATAGTTACTGTTGTCAGTTACTGTTGTCACTGTTACTGTTGTCAGTTACTGTTGTCACTGTTGTCAGTTACTGTTACTGTTGTCACAGCTACTGTTGTCACAGTTAATGTTAATGTCAGTTACTGTTGTCACAGTTACTGTTTTCACTGTTACTGTTGTCACAGTTACTGTTAATGTCAGTTACTGTTGTCACAGTTACTGTTTTCACTGTTACTGTTGTCAGTTACTGTTGTCACAGTTACTGTTTTCACTGTTACTGTTGTCACTGTTATTGGCACAGTTACTGTTGTCACAGTTACTGTTACTGTTGTCACAGTTACTGTTACTGTTGTCACAGTTACTGTTGTCAGTTATTGTTGTCACAGTTACTGTTGTCACAGTTATTGTCACAGTTACTGTTGTCACAGTTACTGTTGTCACAGTTACTGTTACTGTTGTCAGTTACTGTTGTCACAGTTACTGTTACTGTTGTCAGTTACCGTTGTCACTGTCACAGTTACTGTTGTCGGTTACTGTTGTCACTGTTACTGTTGTCACAGTTACTGTTGTCAGTTATTGTCACAGTTACTGTTGTCACAGTTATTGTTGTCACAGTTACTGTTACTGTTGTCACTGTTACTGTTGTCACTGTTACTGTTGTCACAGTTACTGTTGTCACAGTTATTGTTGTCACAGTTACTGTTTATTTATTTATTTAGAAATTTTAGCATACAAACAGAGGTACAAAAAATACAGGTAAGAGCAGCATGCCAAAGCCACTTATATGCATAGCATTACGGGCTGGCTTAAAATTAACTTAAGATTAACTAAGCAATGATGAAATCAGTGATAAGACATTATTGTAAACAGATAACTATAAAATACAAATGAATATTACAAAGACAGGTCCTATGGTTGCATGCATTGCTGTTCATTCAGTAGAATGGAGTATTCTGTTAGGTAGTGTATTTAAAAAAAAACAAAGTTTAGGTTTAACATTTGTGTGATATAATTGTGAGTAACATTTAGGATATGCAATTTATATGGTTCAGTTATTCAGTATTTATTTGGTTTTGAGTGAGTAAGTGAACTTTGAGAAGAGACTTAAATTTAAAACAGGTAGTGTTTCTTTTATATTTACGGGTAATGAATTCCAGATTTTAGGGCCTTTTATGTGCATGGTTTTTGCATAGCGTGAGATGGACACAAGGAACATCAAAGATGATCTGTGCCTTGTATTATGGTCATGTGTTCTGTTGGGTTGGCAAGGGATGTTGAGGGGAGGGTTATATCAGATTTAAAGTGTTCTATGTATGTAATTAAGTGCAATAATAAGTATGGATGTTTTATATGGGAGTAGGTTGAGTGTTTTGAATATTGGGGGAGTGTGCTGCCTGTAGTGAGAATTTTGTTATCATTCTAACTGCAGCCTTTTTTTGGGGTTTAATTAGTGGTCTGAGATGGTTGTTGTTGTTGAGCCCCATGCACAAATTCCATAGGTGAGATGGGGGTAAATAAGAGAGTGATAAAGGGCCAGGAGGCTGACTGTGGAACATAGTACCGTATTTTCGATAGTATGCCTACAGTTTTGGGAAAATTTTTCTTAGAATTTGTTG